CGAGGGATATCCCTAAAGAAACCTGTGTGGGAGAACACTGGAAGTCTTTGAAAGCTATGTGGAAAGAAACCTGCACAACGGTATTAGGAAGGAAGAAGAAAGAAGACAAGTCGAGTAATGTATCTTGACGGACACATGGAAGCTGATAGATCAGGGAAAGGAGGATGGTGAGAGAGAAAATGAACCAGTGAAGTGCAAGGATGCACAACGAGAAGAGGAACTGAGTACAACACATAAAACACTACACTGGACAAGGAAGTTAAGAATAGTGCACGGAAAGACAAAAGACACTTCTACGACACATTGGCAGGTGAAGCAGAACAGGCTGTATTTAGGAGAGACAGACATCTGACAACATTGTATCAAATGACCAGGTTACTATCTGGGAGGGAAGAGATCAACACAGATGAAGCCAATAAAAGATGATTAAGGAAATTTAATTACGAAAGAAGAGAAAGAAAGGAAACGATGAACCGACCACTTCAAGAAGCTCTTGAATCGACCACCACCTGCACTTCATCCAGAAATACCACCTGCAGCCCAGCCACAGAACTACCAGTGAACATAAATCCTCCACCAAAAGTGGAAGTCCTGAGCACCATAAAACTACTGAAATGTGTGAAAGCAGCAGGACCAAATGGAGTTCCACCAGAAGCACTGAAAACAGACTCAGAGACAGGAGCGGACATACTCACCTCACTATTGCAGAAGGTGTGTGAGGAAGAGAAGGTACCTACCAACTGATTGGAAGAAGGTCTACCTTGTCAGACTCCCGAAGAAGAGAGACCTAACTGTTTGCAAGAACTGGCGTGGAATCGCTCTCCTGTCCCTGTCCACCAAAGCAAAATATTATGTCGCATCATCCTAGAGAGACTGAAGAATGCACTGGATTCAAAATTACGACCGAAAAGGGCTGGCTGGCTGGTTTGCTTGAAGAAGAACAAGTCATGTGCGGACCAAATTGCAACGCTACACTATGCATCATCATAGAACAGAGTATAGAATGGCAGTCAACTCTACTCTACCTCAAATTCATCGACTTTGAGAAGGCCTTTGACAACGTCGACTGACAAGTAATTTGGAAACTGCTTCAACATTACGGAATACCACAAACCTCCATCGATCTCAATCAACAACTATATGAAAATGCCACATGCCAGCCAAGTAATTCACAATGGGAAGCTCAACTCAGTGATGCTTTCGAAGTGAAGACAGGAGTGAAACAAGGTTGCCTACTATCCCCCATGATATTCCTGATTGTGGTCGACTGGATCATGCAACAAACAGTGAGGAGCTGTGAGAAGAGGGGGATACGCTGGACCTGGGTAAAGAACCTAGAAGACTTGTATTTCGCCGATGACTTGTGTCTGGTGTCACACAAACTTGAAGATCTACAGGTGAGAACTAACAAATTGGTAGAAGAGGCAGCGAAGGTGGGACTTCCTTCGGGTGAACGTAGAGAAGTCAGAGGTGATGATGACACCCAACCAACACCACCACCACCACCAACAACAACAACACGAAGAAGCTCCAATCACGATAAACGGGAGAAATTCAAAGGAAATAGCCTCTTTCACCTATCTAGGCAGCACAGTTTCGACTATAGGCGGCATTGACGAGGATGTCAAAGCCAGCCAGGATCGGAAAACAAGACAGGCGTTCATCAATCTGAAATCAGTGTGGAGATCTGCACTCAGCATAAAACGTGAACAAGGTCCAGATTTTCAACACCAACGTCAAGTCAGTGCTTCTATGTGATGACTCAGAGACTTGGCGCGTTACGAAAGGGATTTCCAATAAACTACAGACATTCATCAACAACTGCTTACGCTGGCTCGTTACTGAAGATCAGATGGCCAGAATAATAAGAATAAGCAACAAGGAGCTCTGGCTGGCAACGAACCAACCAAGAACCCATCACCCAACAAATGTGCAGAGGGAAGTGGAGATGGATTTGGGACTGTGTATGCACTGAGAAGGCCGACTGGGGATATGACGCGTCAGGCCAGGCCGTTGAGTGGAAGCCAGATGGGGAGCGATGAGTTGAGCGTCCTAGGTGTTGGTGACATGGAGGAGATGGTGTGTGGAGGAAATGAGAGCTTGTGGGCTGTCGAGGAGCCAGGTTCAGAAGATTTCAGAGAACAGAGCGCATTGCAGACGTGCTACTGAAGCTCTATGTTCCATTAGGAACCCAAGGGACAAATAATAATAATATATAATATATTACCGCAACAAATATGTGACACAGAGACAAACAGATGAATATTGCACTACAAATGACATAAAACTGATAATAAAATGAAAAGGATGAGTAAGGAAACATGAAATAAGGTGCGTAATGGTTGGGACAAATACATAGTTGCCAAACTAATCTTAGATTAATCGTTGTGTCGTTGTAGCTAAAACATACCCCAATCAAATATTGACACTGTGTGCAAAAGATGTTAAGTTCCTGTTCAATAGAGAAATGTATCGACAGATTGACGTAGCCATGGGAAACTCACTTGGTTTTATTTTTCCCGGTATATTCATTTCAGATTTAGAAGTGAACGCAAAGAAAGTGTCTACCGTTAACAGTATATTTTATACGACATATGCAGACGACATATTTTTGATCTGAGAAAAAAGATATAAAATCGCTCCTTATACCTGTTTCAGATATTGAATAATGTACACTTAATAATTAGATTTGCAAGTAAAAGTGAGCAAGAAGACTGCTTCCGGTTTCCTGATTCATCGGCTGAAACATGTGATGATAAACATGGGGGGTGCCTATACCATAAACATGCATGGACTGGACAGTATTTAATCTGCAACAACTTTTGTCTAGTAAATTGCAAACGTGGATTTCCTAGAACGTTGATTAAAAGAGACAAAAATCTTTTCTCAGAAGATAAGGTAAACGACGAGTTAGACAACCATTATCTGAAAAGTTTTGTTAAGACGTATTCAGAAGTATGTACCAAGAGACAAACTATAACCGCAGTGAAGAAAAAATCGGTGTTCATTCATTCAGGTAAGCAGAACATACTGAACTGAGAAACCGGTTTCACTACTTAGCGCAAGCTGCACTATGCTACAGTTCAGAATGAATAAGCATTCACGCATAGTCACTTCCATCTGTATCTACAAATTCTTATGCACTTGTGGAAGTAATTTTATCGGATGAACACGAAGATCGGAATGTATTTGGTTTTCTAAAAGTATTTCATAGAAATATACTGCTGTACAACTTGAATGGTTAGAAACCAATCTCCATGAGCTGCCGATGGTTTCAGATACATCAGAGTGATCTAAACACCAAAAAGCCTGCAACTGAAGGATTGCAAATCGTTAACAAGTTTAATCATATACCGTTTAGTTGATTCAAGGCACCCAGTAAACATGGTTTTGAAAATTCTAGCATCATTCTCAGCTGATGATACAGTACGTGCAGGTTAGGGAAAATTAACAAAAGACAACCTAGTGAAGAACATTTTCTTTTCGATGAATCATTTTCAGAAGTTTTATATTTGGATTGATAGTTATAGCGAAAATAAATGTCCTGATATATTTATTAGCTCAACTGAAAGTCATCAAAAAGTTATATTGACTTACTAGTCGTTGATGGAGATATTTCCTTTTTGTAACTTGATGCACAAACGTACAGCCTCTGACAGCGATTCGTCAGAATTAAAATTTTCTCCAATGAATAGTTTGTTGTTAACTAACGTTGCTTAACAACAACTTCATAAACTTTATGGCAAGTATTATGTAATTTCAGTAAAATAACTTCAAAATGTAAGGCGTGGCAATATCCCAAGCTAGGATTATTACTTCATGTAACTTTCAGTCTTCTATTATTTGTTAAAAAACCCCTAATGGTTGACATGCTTGTCTTTAACTCAGGTAATACATGATATGTTTTCTTAGGGCTTCTTCGAGTGAGTGTCACAAAACAAAGTCTACCTTGTTAATTGAAACTACTTAAAATATTCTATATCTAATTCCAGCGTATATCTATATTTATAATACATTTGAATACTCATTAACTTATTACCATCATATGTCCACATAAAACCACTAAGAGATACTGTTCTTCATGACTCAATAATTAATGTCTAACAACGTACTGTAAATGAACTAGATTTGTTCATTTCACGTTGTAGATCTTTATTTTCAAAACAGCTGTCCGAGTTTATGGGCTTTATTTATTTGTGAACTTTGTAAAAATAAATAAATTTCATTTTCTCATATTTTTAGGAGTTTTACTTCAACTTATCTATTGGTTAAATAGGTCTTTGGGCTGAAATACTATGAATTAATTCAGCACAAAAAATACTCTTCCTTTTCAGTTATTTTACCGGCATTTAAGATTTTGGATCAGAAAATTCAAACCATTTACACGAAAATGTAAATACTATTGACAATCATTACAATGAACGTTTCTAATCTCGAAGATTACTTTTATATCTAAAATGAGAAATTGATATTTAAAAGCATTTCAATGTTTAAATTGGTTCAATCGATACCGGATAGCATTTTGGTTGATTTCTTTGTTTTACACTAATGTTCAAAGTATTGAACGGATCATTGAAAACTGTGTTAACTAGATCTCGTCTGAAGTTAATATCTATGCATTTCAAATGAAGATTAGATCAGCTTATTAGGCTGTGCATCATTACAAGAAGTCTGTACTCTATATTAGTCGAAAAAGAAATGAAGTGCATAAATGTTTTTCGTTTTTAAGTTAACAGGCTCTTTAGATCAGAGAGATTCTTCAGTGATATAGAAACTGTCAAGCCGTACTAATAATAATATAGCTTGAAACTATGCAACAATTAGCTATTATGGTATATTGCGAAAAGATATTTAAATGGCAAGGTTATATTTGCTAATAAATGTTACGACAAAAAATGTGAAATTATCTGTTAGTTTCATATCCACAAAAGGTATTTGTGTATCTGCTGACTATGTGAACGTATTAATTTTTAAAACTTTCTAAATCGTACATTCAACAGATACCAACCAACCCAGAAGTAATACGGTCAATAGAGAAACACCAAGGATGGTTGAAAAAACTTGGCGGAAAATTAAAAATTTGGAAGGAGAGATATTATGTGTTGACAGACACACATCTTTACTACTACACCGGCACAGATAAAAGGAAACTTTTGGGCGAATTCTCCCTGAATTGTGCACAGATAGAATCTGATACTGGTGAAGTGGAATACAATGGAGATAAATCATGTTTATTACTACTGAAAATTAGTAAGTCTCCTAATGATTTTATTTTAGTATATTACCTCAAAAGGTGACAGTGAAATATTTGACTGCATACCACTTAAATCTAGTTCCAGAAGGCTCTGAATATGCCTTGTATCATGTTTCATGCTTTTGTTGCAAAAAGGATGATATTTTCCCATGCATTTCAAGTCAGAAAAAGTTTTAAAGTGATGGAGATAAAAGCTTTGTGTTCATTGGTCACCAGGTATATAGCGTTCAGTTTTAGGATTAATCGAGGTTGAAACTACAGTCTAACAGATTTATCTGACAATCACTTTGACGTTAAGAAGTATTCAATTATTTGTTAAAGTACCTCTAAATGACGTTAAAATTTACAACTCAGACTCTACTTTCTCTTTCTCTTGCGAGACCTTGTTAACTTTCTAATAAACCTAGAGGGGTGCTTATTCAACAGTGATATATGTTTCTTATGATGTATGTTGCTTGGGTTTATTTATTTAGATTTTCTAGCTTACTAGTCAAACTTCTAGCTTGATTGCCAGGACATTTCACCAAGCCTACTTGGCTGTCAGGTACTCTAAATTTTGAATGTTTTATTGACTTGTGTTCATTTCTGATGGAAGTTATCTTTAAATCTGCCAGTTGCATACAAACCACCGGGTTTATAAATTTCTGCATTAAAACACCTTGATTTTGGTTGAGGAATGAATTTTGCTTTAAAAGTCATCAGTTAATAATACTGCTTTACTGTGTGATGTATGTTGAAATAGGATCCTTTTATGAATACAGTGTTTAGAAATCAATACGGTGTTAGTGGTCCTTTTATTAAAGAGTGATAGATGAGCAGAGTAGCAATTTAGAATACAGAATAAATATATATATCATCAGGCTATGAATATCAGATCAGGGTTTTGCTTAGATCTTTATTAATGATGGATAGTGGCTAGCAGTGGATACCAGGACGCGCGTTTCGTCCTATTTAGGACTCGCCAGCTGGTGTAGTACAAGCAACAATACCTAGGTGGTTAGTTGCGTAGTCATGATTAAGGATGAGAAGGATAAACAGTCATTAAGACTAGTTACTTTAGAATATTAAGTGAGAAAGTAGTAGAGAAATGTGAGATAGACGACAGAGGTTAGGGCTATTTTGTATAGTTTAGGTAAAATTAAACTAAGACAGGCTATAGTAAAGACAGAAGTTGTTAGGATTTGTTCAGAGCCCAGACACTAGACTTTTGCTGCATTTAAAGATGTATCCTTACTATATGTGTAAGACTGGAAGCGTTACTATAAGTTACTTTAAATGATTCATTTAGGTGGATTTGATGCTCAGTGTTGATCATACATTCAAGCACTGGATTTCCTATTGGTATTATTTGGTTCCTCGTACTTAACCATTTTATTTGAAAATTAAATAATGGAGTTATCTAATGGTACACCCTTTCCATATTTTCAAAATTAATCATTTCCTTAGCATGTAAACTGTCATCACGATGTTAATTTCAGAGACTGCGTTAATTAAATAAACTTATAAATTAGCGAAGAGCTGATGATGAAAAGAGAATTTAAAATAAGTGTTTCTTTGCTTAATTCATTGTTGTTCTTTATATTGTAATTGTCACTATCCTTTTTGAAATTCGGCAACACTTTTCATCACAATGTTTGTTACAGGGTGCTGATTTATTGGAGAAATCGGCATTCGATTGTCTTTGAAGTACAGTACATTTTAAGACAGAAGATTTAGATATCCGGTTGACACATGTGTAATGCGATTAGATGAGGATGCTCTCTGCATTCGTGATTAACTGCTCATATAAATTTAACTGAGTGGAGTGACTTTAATGGTCACCCTAGTAACTGCTGCGAAAATCAGTTACGGTTTTTTATTTTATGGGAAGCTAACATCGTAAGTGAAATACTGAAAAGGGATTGGTTATTTCAGAACGTAGCCTTTAAAGTCACTCACTGAGTGTCTTCCGGAGTGACTTTAAAGGTCATCCTAGCAAATGGTGAGATAATCAGTTACATTTTTTTTATTTTGTGATAAACTACTTTTCTGGTTAGAATCCTGAAACTTGATTGGCTATTTCAGCAGTTGCCAAGGTGGCCTTCAAATTCCCTCTTATATACTGGCTTTCGAAAGACAAAGATAAGTCATCACTACCCTTGTGATTATGAACCATCTCACTCATGTAGTGTAATCGAATATGGAATTGCTTACTCGTGTAGACATGATCATGAATTACAAGCTCATAAAGTGTATACAAATATCAAGGGAATTTTATCTTCATAAATAAAAATATGAACTTTAACTAATGTAAAGTTATTTTGAACAGCAAGTTGTGATAAACAAACCTATGAACATAGCTTTGAAGCAGTGAATATGAAGCCCACCCTAGCAACTGGTGAGATAACTAATCAGGATTTGGCATTTTGGCCGAAAAGGTATTATTTTATAAACTAGAGACTTAGTTGGTCATCTCAGCAGCTATTATGTTGCCCTTTGAGTTACTCGCTCTTCAATAGTACTGTAAATAACTTGGTGAAACGCTTTTAAAAACACATATCATAGTTCAAACACATTCTTACCTAATTTGTTAGTTTATCCCCTTTTCAACCTTTACATAGCATTTTATCCATCTGATTGATAAGTTAGCAAACAGTCCATTGCAGTTATTGACATGAGTAGTTACAAATCTGCCATCCAGATCATTAGCTCAGAGAACGTCTTATTCGAAACAAAATCCTAAAAGCTGTCTGAAGTTAGGAATGGAAGAGTATTCTGAATGCTCAAGATGCAAACCAACTATCCTACTGTAATTGTTGTTATTCTGAAAGCTTTATTTCATCTTTTAAATTTAAATTTCTCTACAACTAATTAATTCTTAACGTTTGATGTACATATAAGTTAGGTTAGGCTATGAATCAAAGAAATAGGCCTCTTATGTAAAGGATGTTTCTCGCCTGGTTTAGCGAATGTGTACTGCAGCATATTTGATTAGGTATAAAATAATCTTTTCATTCTTAGTGACAAAATTGGTAAATAAAGGAGTACCAAGAATTATGAGTAAAAATTAATTTCATTGTTGCTAAACAAATGAATACCTTGACCCAATGGGTTAGTGAACTGAGTGTATCAGCAGTGAAATAAGGGTATACGTAGATAAGGAATCATGAATGAAGTTTCACTTTAATTCACAGTTCCGATATTATTTGATAGAAAGTTGACTTATGATGATAAATTTTATATAGGGTATTACTTTCTCCGTTTTGAATGTTTTGTCGTATCGAACGTTCTGTTCTTAATTGCTTTATGGATTTTAAATTTGTTTTTGCAAAAGATGGACCCTCACCACTGCAAGACAGTCATCTAAATGGTCAAATACAACAACACGATCAACAGCAGATCATACTTTGTGCACCTAATCCACGTGAAAGAAAAGTATGGCTGAGAGCAATACGAAAAGTTCTTTATTTACATCATGGTGGTGGTAAGCTTATCAAGAATTTTAAAATGAATATTTTATTTACCAAAAAATAGATGTTGGCTTTTACTATAATGCATAACATTCTAATGAGACTGTATCATGAGTTAGTTAGAACCAAGAATTCTTAAGTGATCTAAAGGCCACCCTAACAACTGTTGATATAACCAGTAACGTTTCTCCATTTTTTAGAAATCTACCTTTTCAACCGAAACAACGGAACATGACTGCCTATTTCAGCAGCCTCTAGGGTGGTCTTCAGTCTTTAAATTTTAAATAACAGGCTAAAGGGGCTTGATTATTAGGTTCTCATTTCAAGAGCAGTTTCAGACATATACCGGTGAAGAGTCTTGATTTTTTTTTGGGGGGGTGGGGGGTGGTATTCTTATCTGTTTATCGTTACGATTCAGTGGGTTTTGTATTTAAATGGTTGTTTTAATGAAAGTCACCAAAAGTCCATAACTCATTTTACAGGAAGTGAATACACAGTGGCGATCAGATAATTCTTACTACCGTTTAGGAGATGATTTACATAAAAAAGCATTTTTAAAGTAGTCGAGATTGGAGAATATAAATTGTATTGACTTCTTTGTTCGTATATCTTTATGTATTAATATTAGTTCTGATTTTGACAACTTGCTGCCAACGACAACTTGAAGTGGTTTGCTTTTAAAAGTGGTATCAGCTAATCTGGAGATATCACAGCATCTAGCACCGTAACAAAAAGTAAGGTGTACTGAGTTTTTCAGTAACTTTTCAAATAATTGCTCCCCTTTTGACCTGTAAATTCATCATCTATCTCTCTTCAGGAGATGAGGAAAATTTTCTTTACACTCAACTGTAGATATCAGTCAACAGAATTTCTACTAATACCAAACATGATGGAATTTCTGAAAGACGCGAGAAAATGCATTTAAATAAAGTATTTTTAACGTTGAGAGGTAAACAGGACCAAAAACTTTCAGTAACTCATCGCTAATATTGTAGGAATAGCCAAGATGATGCATATTTGTTCTTTTGGATTTCTGCGTACAACCTTCATTTTGACAGTTTTGCACCTTATTGCTGTGTGATCAAACTATTTCAAGTGAAGCTTCGAATTTCTCATACAAATATATGTCATCTGTGCACTTTTTTCTTATGCCTGTATGTTTGCGCATTGAATTAACTAACGAAAGATTGTCAACATAATTTATCTAAAAGGTGTGTATTATTTCATACTTGAGTTAGTACTTTATGTGACAGGTATTTAACTATTTGATGAGTAACAATTTTAAGGTAACACTTTTATCATATATTGAAATAAAAGCTGTGGAGTTTGTTCAATAAGGAGTTTTATTAGTAGGGGAAAACATCAAAGGGATTATACGCCTTACAGAACAACTACCAGAGTTGAACATTATAAAGTATGTCTTATTTAGATAAAAGTATTAGTTACGGCTACAGTTGTTTAGTTAAACAACTTTACAAAGTCATTCTAACTGAATGTAAAACCCGTATATAAAACTTTAAGTAACCCAATAACAGTCACTAGTTAGAGATAAGGTTTTTCAAACATGAGAACTTTTTTCATCGATTTAGAGCCGAACATTTTTTCATTCAAAGTTTCGGCACCAGAAACTACTGATTTCAAACACACTGTGACTTACACAAATACAATATAGATATAATGTTGACCGTTTACTTAGCGTCCAATAACTACCATACTATTCGATCAGATTTTGATCATAGTTCATGTAAAGGCTAGTATGTTTATTTAGTTTTCACATACGTTGAAATACATTACATGATTCAAGGATCCAGAATCAGAGATCTTTATTTCTTTCAGAATTCAGTTGTTCAGGATTTTTGTCACAAGTACTACTTAACACAAAAATCTGAACCAATATGATCCAATCATTCTCGAGAAACGTAAAATGTAATCCTTGCCTGATTTGCCATGGTAACGTATCTGATGTCAAACATTTTATTTTTTAATTTTCTCAACTGACAACGAAATGTTTCACCTATGATTTATTCTGTTCACTTTAAAATAGACCTGTTTCCAACGTCTATCTTAAAAAAGTCATCTGCTAAACATTAATTGCCTTATCACATTTTTTGTTAGTTACCTAATTTACATTTTAATTCTTCATTAAAAAAATATTTCTATGTGCACTTACCATTGAATGCATAAATACCAACACAATTTATGTTCAGCACATTATAGTTTGGTGACAAAATATATTACTATGTAAAAAAGTGGAGTGTGTAGCTTATGCATAAAGTAAGTAAACGTTTTCATCTTCTGTATGACCTTGATTCCTGAGGATGCTGGACCTATATCACGAAGGTGCAGACAGTAAATTTTGGGATCCTAAATACATACTCTGCAACAAAGTGATTGAATTTTTCGTGTTTGCACAAAACACCGTCATTAGAATAATTTTTATGATTGTCTTCTAATTTGAATTCTCGGAAATTTTTGAACAGTATGAAGTTATATGTTTGTATTTCTCTCAGTAAGGACAAGAAGGATCTAAGGAAAACCAGTATTTTGATGCTAGTTATTGTAAGCCATTTCGTTCTAGCCCCCTATCAACATCTATCATCAGGGTATTTTTTGCATGGTTGATAATCTGAGCTCGCACCGCTGTGTGCTGGAGTCAGAGACTTCACGCTAAGATATTGAGTAGTGACTAACTCCTTCTTGGACAACGTTTTGAACACTCTCTGGCCATCAGTGAACAACCAATGTGGCTCTAGGCTCGAGCCACAGAGGAAACACAGGCCTCCTGGAGATTGCAGATATACCTTGCTGAAGAGTACTGTAAAACACGGTACCTGAGTCCAGGACACTTTGTTAATTGACCACCAACATCAGAACATAATGCATCACAGTGTCACGTCACTTAATCTAATGATCATATTGCAAACTTGATTGACACACCTAGGTCAGTGCTGAATCTCTAGAACTAGAAAGCCTCATAAGTTACCAATTTGCAAACAGAATCTGCCGGGAACAGAAGCAAACGCATTTTATTAAGTCTTTTATTAAATAATCCTGCTTAGAGACATACTAAAAGCAGTTGATAAGATGAGAATTATCCAGAAATGTCAGATGTAGATAATTTTTAGGTAAATAACTGATAGGCAACCAGATGATGTTGCTAAGATCCCAGCGAGAATACAGCATGAAGACTTTTGCATCAAGAATACCAATTTTGAGCTGTTTCGCATGATTTTTCATACATTACTCTTGATTGCTGCAAAGATTCCAATCAACAGGTGTACATTTTCGTAAATGTCTTACATGGAAAGTCGTAAGCTTCAGAGATGTTTGGTACTTTTTGTTTTTACTGTTTTCATCTTTTTCTCCAGCTGATTCCTTCTCCACTTGACAATGTGTTTCATGGTAGAGTATGATTCAAACAGACAATGCAAGCAGCGTCAAATGGAATGCTTTATTTGTAGAGTTTCTGTTTAATCCACTTACTGATACTTTTTTTATCGATATAAGATAAACCTCACTGAAGTGAAGCAGAATTTATGGTGTAAGGCCCGAAAATTAGTGCATTTAGGTAATCTCTGTAGAAAGAATTTGTAAAAATTTCTAAGGAACAACCTGGTAGTGAAATTCACTATTACTTGAACCAACCAAATAGTTTCGTTTCAGTGAATACAACCAACAACACGTTGCTAAATAATACTGGTGAGAAATCGTATGACTGTAAACATCTGCAAAATTAGTATTTAACTGCAAATATGAAAATTAAATTTTAATTAAAACAGTGTTATGATTTCTTTTACTTTGTAAATAATAGGTACTGTTTCCTTTCAATTAGAGACAATCAATCATCTAAAAGTACGTAAAGAAAACAATCGATAACTACGCCAGTATACAAAGTATTGTATGAAATAGTTTATTCAGTACTTTAAGCAGGAAATATTTGAGACAAAACACCAAAATTTGGATTCATAGCTAATCATTGGAATGGAGATGATTTCATTTTTAGGCTTTCAGAATTTATCAGAGGTATCAATAGTGTTTTTTAAACAAGTTAGTAGGCTAGCCTCGGTCATCACAGGTTGATCGATATTTCTAATTACTCTGTGAGAGTACAAAAGTCACTAGACGTTTGAAGTAAGAGTATCGCTCATAACTATTCTGTTGCACAAATTTCAAAACTGTGATATTACTACACTGCGTAGTCTCCTTACATAATTAGCTTTATCAATTCCAGACAGTTAGAAATTTCCATTTTATAGATTAAAAATCAACACTGAATGAAGAATATTGTTTTCAATAACTCGTCAGGTTCTACAGTTATAAAATCAGTTTTGTTAACATATTAAAAGTCATAATTTGCGACGAATGCATTTAGGAATGGGTATGGAACTATAATTAAAATTTGACTCTTTAAGATTGTGGATGGTAGTGTAATTTATATATGTGGTGATATGTTGAGTGTAAACTTTGTCAATCTATTAGTGATTAGAGGTATGGGGAAGGCAAATTTATAATACAGTTCAAGGTTGCATTGTGTCAAGTGAGTGATTAGTACAAAGAATGACATGAATTTACCTAAGGGCAGAGATGGGGTGAATTGTCATCAAAAGATGATTAATATATAAAGCAAACAAGATAATGAGAGTAGTAATGATGTGAAAAATTTTTGACAGGAATTTTAAAGGTATATTATAATAAGACCAGAGGAAAGTCTGGTTAAAAAATAAGTCATTCTTTGTACTAATCACTCACTTGACACAATGCAACCTTGAACTGTATTATAAATTTGCCTTCCCCATACCTCTAATCACTAATAGATTGACAAAGTTTACACTCAACATATCACCACATATATAAATTACACTACCACCCACAATCTTAAAGAGTCAAATTTTAATTATAGTTCCATACCCATTCCTAAATGCATTCGTCGCAAATTATGACTTTTAATATGTTAACAAACTGATTTTATAACTGTAGAACCTGACGAGTTATTGAAAACAATATTCTTCATTCA